TCTACATGCATTGTTACAGGATAATCTCCAGGATACATTAAGTGAAAAACAGAACGCAGAACCCTGTGTATAGTATGCCAGAATTTGCTTATATATTCAGATTTTCTTCAATCTGCAGAGGCTACCTCTGGAAGCATGGCTGAAAAATGACAAATCATATTTCCCTAAGACAAGGACACTGAAGGACTGAAGAAATGGGGAACATTAGAGAATGGGAAATTTATGTTTTGAAAATTTCATGTTATCAGATCCATCAATATTTTCTTACAGCTTCTGCTTTGTATCTTTAAGAAGGTCTTCCTTCCCTCAAGGTTGAAATAGATATTTTTCTAATTCTACTGCATTTGTACATATGGGCATAATATATGTAAGTAATCTCCTGTCTAATGTTGAAATGACTTTTGAGACTTACTTTATACTACATAACTTATCTCTTTTGAATTTTGAACCCTATTTATATATTACCTTTTTAAATAGAAAATGGGGAGGAGAATCTACCAGATTTTATTTTTAAATAAAACAAAATTTGGGGGGCACCCGGCTGGCTCAGTTGGTAGAGTGTGTGACTCTTGATCTTGGGGTTGTGAGTTCGAGCCCCACGTTGGGTGTAGAGATTACTTAAAAATAAAATCTTTTAAAAAAATGAAAGAAATAAAACAATTTTTTTAGGAATCTACTTTATAGGGTACATTTTATGGTATGTGAATTATATCTCAATTCAAAAAGAATCTAGCTTATATGACAAAGTTGAAATTAACATGAGAACTGGCCGAGTCAAGGCCAATGTTAGGGTTTAGCCAGGATCTCCCAGAGACTCAGTTTTATAGTTTAGCCTAGCTTTGTAGGTTCAATGACTCTTCGGGCAAAACAAACCTGCAATGAACCAGGAAGCACCTCTTCATGTTCCCCCCAAGTCTTGCCTGAGAGTTGGCCCTACCTCCTATCAGACTGGTTCCCTTGGGAGGACAGGCCAACACAGATGATGAAGGTTCTCCCCGGAGAGCTGGTGCTCAGGCATAGGACATTGTGGGCTCAACTGGGCTCATATCAGGACAAGGAGGAGCCAGTGTGGAAGCTGGACAGATACCATCTGGCACCCACGGGGAAGAGGTTCTGGAAATGGAACAGAACGATGAAGTGCAAAACCAGGAGGCGCCAGAGAGGCTAATGGGCAGGAGGAGACAAAGCTGGGTAAATGTTCAGAATACAGGATAGGAACCATGGTCCTTGGTGCTTGGTGTGGCTGTGTTTGTCTATACACAAGCAGACAGTATTGGACTGCTATTGCCATTTTATCATCATCGTCATCATCACCACCAAATAATTACTGGGACTTGCGATGAGTTAGGGCACCAGGCTTGGAGATACAAATACATTTAAAACAGGGACTTCCAGTTTAGTTGAAAAATGGTAACAGTGGTCCACCCAAAGGCATATTTAAGAAGCTGGATGAAGGTGGGGCACCTAGGTGGCTCAGTCGGTTGTGTCCAACACTTGATTTCCACTCAGGTCATGACCTCAGGGTCCTGAGACGAGAGCCCTGTGTCAGGCTCCACGCCCAGCATGGAGTCTGCTTGTCTCTCTCCCTCTGCTCCTCCCCTACCTCATGCTCGTACTCTCTTTCTCTCTAAAATAAATAAATAAATAAAATCTTTTTTTTTTTTTTAAAGAAGACGCTGAATGAAGTGTGTGACTGAAGCCCAAAGGCAATGTTAAAAATCCTTTAGTCCAGGTTTTTAGGTTTTCTTCAGTACAGGGCCCAGATGAATGTTAGCACAGGATGGGACAGGGGAAGTTCCTAAAGAGGGGAACATGAACAGGGCTGGAGGGAAAGCAAGACCGAGCCAAGTAGAACAGAAGAAAAAGGCATTCCAGGCTTCCGGGGAAGCATGAGGTAGGAATGCTTGCCACCGGCAGTTTGGACAAACACACAGAGTGGGTCACTGGGTCAGAGCAGAGGGTTAGGGCAGGAGAGCAGCGGTGGCCAGACCCGTGTGTGGAAGGCCCTGACTGCTAGCCTAGACGTTTGATCCTTACCGTGCAGACAGTGGGGAGCCATTGAAGGCTGCTGAGCAAGAGGGTGACCCTTGCAACCAGGCATTTTAAGTGACATTACAGACAGCCCTTTATCCCGGGCTTATGCAAAGCCTTGTGTATATTTCAAGTAGCACTTGATACAGAAAGTCGCAAAGCAAAGCCCTGTGTCATGTAGACAAGGAAAAAAAATGGTTTAAGGGTCTCACAAAGAGATGCTTCAGTGAGTACGAGAAATGAAGGGGAGAACATTTTAAAGAAGGAAACAAATGTGCAGCACAGAACCACGAGGCATCTGGAAAACTGCAGCACTTTCTTCAGAGTCTGACATGCCCTCTTTTAGCTGGGGGTGTTCTGCCTCCTTTTTTGGAGGTTAGTTGTGGTGTCAAAACACTGGATTGTGGTGTAGGGAGTGAGGCAGCTGGGAGGAGGCAGATGAACAGAAATATAACTATCAGGCCTGGGGAGCGTAAAAGGCCTTCTTTCGGAGACCACCGTCTTGCAGCGGACTTCATCTGCCTCTCTCAGTGGCATGTAGGGGCTTTTGACAGAGTTGCTGAGGTTGCGAGTTACCTCCAATGGTTTCTCCTCTTAAAACAAAATGATTTGTAAACTGTCAGGTTCTGACTCAGTGCTTTTTCAAGACTGTTCCTAGTTGTGCATGGCGAGGCAGCAGGGCTGCTCAGAGGCCATGAACTGGGCAGCAACTTCGGGCCCTAAGTCAGCATTTACGTAAGGTGCGAGAGGAAGTCAGGATTGTTTCCGGCCTTGCCCTGTGCTGTGCACAACTGCAGGGCAAGCTCTCTGAACGCCAAGGCAAATCGGGGCAAGCCAAGAGAAGGGCCTGAGTTAGGCACAAAAATTAGCCAGGCTGACCTGAAGATGTGGGTAGGCAATGGCGCCTGGTGGGGCCGCAACTCCAGGGAGTCTCCTTCTTCTTTCTCTGGCCTTTACAAGTAAGGGGTCCCTCTCCACCGCTCTCCTGCCTACACCGCTGGAGGACCTTTCCACACCTTTAGGCTCTGCAGCCTAAATTAACACAAAGTACTGCGACTCAAAGCTGTCTTTTCTTTGAGGTCATAAGAGAATGCTCCCCTCCTCTGCCACTCAAGGCTAGTGCTGGGCACCAGTAGGTTCTTAAGAAAGCAACCAGGTCAGGGGATGCAGCTGACCAGAACCTTGACAGTCAAGTTCAGGAAAAACCCAAACGTACCAGGAACAGGAGTTGTGCAGCTCAGGACCCCCTACCATAGTGGTGTTTTTGCTCTAAACCTCATTCCCCTGTGGCAACTGGGCTTGTATATCCCAGACTTCCTAGAAATGTGCTGACTTCACACGTTTCCTCGAGTCTCTGGTAGCACATAGGAGACTGCCAGGGACTATGCCCTAATGTTTTGCTTTGGCAAATTGTCACTGTGCCCATGACACACAGTTGGCACGAGGCTGCAAAACAGCATTTTTCCTTCAGGTGAAACTCAGTTACTGGGCTGGGGAGAAGGCGAGGCATGGGGAAGCTCCAGGGTGCCAGGGCTATCCGTTCCTGTCACTCTGAGCAGGGAGGCTGCCTGAGCACTGTGGGAGGGTGCCCCGGAGTCACACAGCACCCCCGTGGTGCGGGGCTGAGCGCTGTCCCACGAGAATCTTCCACCTAGGCCACTCTGTCTCTAAGAGAGAGCGGGTTGAGACATGGGGTGGGAGCAGAACAGCCCTGCCTGTATCCTACACATGCCTTTTGACTGTGTTTTAAATCCCTCCACTACCGTTAGCCACATCCGAGGCCCTGCAGGAAAACCTATTTGCCTTCTTTCCACGCTTGCAGGCTTGGCTCCCTCCCTGTAGCACAGAAGCTCAGCAGGTATGAGGACCCCCACCCTTCTCTGTGCTGCAGGCCTGGCTCAGGAAATGGGCCTGGGGCTGTTCTGGACAAAATATACTTGAGTCACTCCTCTGGGGGTGTCACTCCCTACCCCCACCCCCATCCTGCCCACCCCAGACACCATCACAGACAACCCAGTCTCCAAGCCCCAGCACTTTCCCCTTTGCCCAGAACACAATAAAGGAATTAGGACCCACCTACCAAGTTTCTGCAGCTGACACTTCAAGGCTCAAAGTCTAGCTCGCCAGCTCAGTTACACAAGTCTGACGTGTCCTCTTTGCAACCAGGCGCCACTCCACCACCGTGCAACTTTGCTAATTCAAACTGCTTTCCCGTTTAGGGAGGTTGATAGCCATCTCCCATCTCCTTTTCCTGCTGACGTCATCCCACATTTTCTACCGACACAAATAAGGGTACAATCCCTGGGATAGTTTTTAGGCTGCCTAAGATGGGAGTGGAGGGACTCTGCTGCCCTCCTGGGTCTACTTCACTTCTCTGGTGTTTGGCAAGTGGTCCGAGATTAAGGGAGAGGCCAGGAAATAAATCACCTACCCAAGGTGAAAGGCCAGAAAGAACTTGGTGACTTGCAGCTCAAGCCCAGATCTGTCCCGGGCATTTGCAATGCAAATCTGCGTTTTGTTCGCAGCCACCACGGTCTTGCACAATAGCCTGTGTATAAACATCCACGCCAACAATGCCTGACTGTGCAATCACGCTGTAATTACAGGCCGGCAGGAAGCTGCTGCTAGGAACTGCACCATTCAACCTCTAGACGTCCCACGTCGGGAGTCTCCACGGCACCGACGGACATTCCGGCGCACCCCGACGCGTCCCGGGAGGCTGCTGCTACGCTTGCAGCCTCCCAACCAGGGAGCCTCGACGCCCCCCCCGCCCGGCCTGCCAGCCCCGAGTTACTCTGCAGGGATGTCATAAACTTCTCAGCTGGTCTTTAAAAAGCCCTGCGCCACGAGGCTCCCGAGGGCGGCGGGAACCACCAGCAAAGTTCGCAAGCACAATCCTGCAGCCCTAGCAGTTTTAGAAAACAGAAGAGAGCGAGATGTCACAGAGTGCACTGGAAGCGGGTTTCGGAGTTTTATATAGAAAACACTCACATATGTAGGTGGGTGTGCTGACAGTTTTTATGGCTAAATTGCAAAGTGTTAGGCCTTAGGGATCACTGTCAGGTTCGGGACGTTGGTGTGTGGGGGGGGGGAGGGAGTCGGGAGGGATTTGTTGAAAGGGGGCTTGGGAGGCAATTCTGGTTTTGCTTTTGCGAAGTGCGTAGGGTTGTTTTCCCAAAAGGCCGAGTTGCTCTGCTCTTCGTCACTGCAGGGCCGAACGAAGAAAAGTGGGGGGAAAGTTCCTTTAACTTCCTTCCTGCAACCTCACGGAAGGCTGTGAGGAGGAAGAACACGTTTCCCTGGGAAGCACCGGCCAGGGCTGGGGGGAGGGGGGCGGCTGCGCCCAGCCTGTGGGGATGCGGGACCGCGGGCGGAGCACCAGCCCCGCACGCAGGCCGCGGGCAGCCCTTCCCTGCACCCCTCCTCTCGCGAACAGCGCCTGGAGAGGCCCGGCTGCAGCCGCGACTGTTTTAAGCCCCGCGGCAAACCGGCGACAGCAGGGGAGCAGCCTGGCGCCCCCGATCCGGGCCGCCGAGCGCGCCGCCCCCCCCGCCCCCGTGCAGCGCCGCCCGCACCCCCGCGCCCAGCGCGGCCGGCCCAACCCGGCCCCCCACAACCCCGCCCGCCGGAATAAGCCCCGGCCCCCCGCATTTCCGAGCCCCACGCCGGCGCCCCGGCGGCGGAGGGGGCGCCCAGCCCGCGGCTCACCTACGCGCTGGATCCCGGGGCGCTCGGAGGGGCGCGGCCCGCAGACTCAAAACTTTGTTGCTCTCGGGACGGCGCAGTCGTCACTTCCTCGCGGAGCGGGCAGCGCGGCCCGGCGTGTGACCCAGCAGCTCGCGCGGTGGCGCGCCGGGCCCTGCAGCCGCCAGCCCGCCCGCGCCCCCGGCTCTGCGCGCCCCGGTTGCCCTGGCGCCGACTCCCCCGCTCGGCGCGCCCCCGGCTGTCGGGGGGCCACGAGCGGTTGTCCCGGGAGCCTGCACCCCTCCGGGCGGTTTCCGCGCGGAAGAAATGCGACCGAACCTGGATTCTCAAGGCTGGGTCTGGAAGGTGGTGTTGGGGTTCATGGATCCCGGCGAGCTGGGGGTTCCAGGGGAAACACACCCACCCCACAAGCAAAAGGGTGGGAGAGGAGGAAGAGAAAGTTTTTCAGTTTCGCGCTGAGGCTAGAAGGTCAAGTCAGAAAGCGAAGTGCTCTGTGTTTTGCCAAATAATGCCTAAGCTGGGCCTTAAAACCCGGGTTTCCTCTCCACTTTCCCTCCAAAGGTCTGCACGCTTGTCCTTCGTCATTTCCACCGGTTGTAAATGCGCCGAACGGTTACCATTTATCACACTTCAGGGGAGCTATTTCAGCGTCCAAGTTGGGGCTGCAAAATGTTCTCATCCTCCCCCGCGACTTCCACCTCTTCCTTTACGCTCAACTCTCAGAAGATCTCTTTGGGCCCTGATGCATTCCGTGTTTCATCGGGGGCCAAAAGTGACTTAGAGGGTAGGGTGGAGTCCTGAGAAGATGAGCTTCAGGCAATAATAATTGTGAAATTTACCGTTGCCCAAAATAAATTCGCTCACCGTATTCAAAACTGCAACAAAAAACCCCACCTTTTTGGTTTCTGATAAATAGCAACAAAGTAGTTAAACAGCAGTCTTTAGGGAAGAATTCTCTCCGGTGAAGCTGGAGAGAAAATGGGGTTAGCCTTTGCTGTGGTTTAAAAAAAAAAAAAAAGAAGCAGACATTTGAAACTGCAGTGGCGGGCTTTCATAACAGAAACATTAGCTTCATTGTAGCTTGTTGTGGAAAACAGGGAGCTTTTTAAAGGTGGTTGAAAAGCATTCGTTAGGGCTCAACAATTTTCCCTTTTTCCCCAAATAACTGCTTCTACTAGCACATTGGTGGGATCACAGAACCTCCCTTTCTAATGCTTCATCTTTTTCCATGGCTTTGTCCAGAAAGATGGATGTGAAACTGATGGAAAGTGACATCTGGGCAATGATCCCCAGGTCTGCGTTAATACCTAATGGGAAGCCACAAATGCAGACTCACCCAAAGATGGGGAGTATGCAAATGAAGCTCTCCTAGCAACATGAAATCCCCCACACTGCAGCCCTTATGTGCTAGTTCTGACTTCTACCCAGACGTTATTAACGGCACCTTATAAATACAAAATGTACCACGTAGGAAAAATAATGTTGCTTTTAGAAGTATACATGCATTATTAGACTCTTAATAATTACAATTTTCTGAAATTTTTATTGCATCACACTCGTGGGGGTGGCGGTGGAGAGATTGCCCACTTCAGTTTTGGGATAGACAGAAGTCATTCCTTCCTGCATTCTGCTTACAGCAAGCAATGATATAATCAAGGGGAGTAAAGACAATATGTCACCCAGACTTCTAAAAACAATCATGTGATATTCTGTATTTGCTAGGATAAGAGCAGAATATTTCTTTTTTTTTTAGAGCAGAATATTTCTTTGTTCCGTATTGTGATGCTGAATTCTCAGTCACAATTCCATGAATATTCAGGATTTCTGCATGCCCAGGAATAATTAGCAGATGGTGTAAATGTGTGAAGGCCTGACACGTATATATGCACACACATATATTGCTTTTTCTCTGTACAGAGTGGCATTTGCTGGAGTACCACAGTGTGGAAGCTGGGGTAGGCGGTCTCAAAGACAATCCCCTGCTGATGATCCCCTGCCTCCTGGTATCCATACCCTTGTGTAATCCTGTCTTCTTGGGTGTGGGCTGGACTAACTGACTCCATTCCAACAAATAGGATATGGCAGAAATCATGTGATATCACTAATCATGTGAGATTAGGTTATAAAAAAACTGTGTCTTCCATCTTGGGCACTCTCTTTCTCTCTCTTGGGTCACTCACTGTGGGGGAAGCCAGCTGCCATGTCCTAAGACAGCCCTATGGAGAAGGAGTAGGGTCTGCCAACAACCACTGTGAGTTAGCCTGGGATACCTCCCCCTCGCCCTATGCTAATCGAGCCTTCAGATGAGACCTACAACCCCAACCAAGCCTCCGACCAAGCTGCCTGGATTCCTGACCCACAGAGACTGTAAAGTAATAAATGTTGTTTTAAGCTGCGATGTTTTATAGTCATTTGTCGCAGAGCCGTGAGTAACTAATGCACAGGCCAAAAGAGAAGTCAGTGTGGGCCCAATGACAAGCCCACACAGATTCCTGGTCCCTTCCCTGGAAAAAGCAGAACATGGAGGAGGAGGCAGGGGCCTGGACCAGACCTAAGGGGCACACGTGAGTCCTAAGTACAGAAGGCCCAGCCCTCACCCCTTTTGCAGAGCTGGGGTCATCCTTGAATTTAAACCAGCTCAGAGGGTGTGGGCTGCTGCTCAGGCCCAGGCGGCCCTGGGGGGCTGGGTGTCACCCACCTGATAGTACATGCAGATGGGTTTGTTTCACAAGAACTGACATCTGTCCGGGTGTCCTCTCCCTCTTCCTCAGAGCAGTTACCCTTCTCCTGAGGCCTTGGCACACCCCGGGGGCTGGTGGCGTCAGGCCTTGGTCCTGGAAGGAGGGCTGGAAAGAAGGGCTTTCAAGCCTGGCAGCCAGAAGAGGTGGTGAATTCAGTGCAGGTCTAAAACTAGAACGAAAGGCTCATGGGCCTGCAGCTGAAGAGCAGGTGGTGGACAGTCTCTGATAAGAATCGCCTCCACACTGCTTCCAGGGCCCCAGAGAACATTCTCTCCACGTGATGGTATCTTGCTCTCAACATCATTTCCTCTCCGACAAGAGCAAATTATTCACTTTGACAATACAAAACGAAGTTTGAGGAAGCGGGAGAGATGTTCTACTCCTTCATCCCTAACTAGGGCAGGCATCTAATTGTGGTTGCCCCCACGTCCCCCCTCCCCTTGGCCAACCCCGTACAAGCTGGCAATCGTAGAAATCATTTTCTCTCTGGAGACACCAGGCTCTGATTTTTCTCATGTGCCGTGGCCACAGCTGCTGGGTTGCCATGCCGTCATCCGGTTGCTATGACTTGTGAGGTTGTGGATGTGCCAGAACGTGAATCTATTAATTTAACAGGAACTAGGCTCAGCACATATATTCCTTGTTAGGTCATTTGCTTTGCTACCTAAACCACATCCAGTATGTTCAGCAATGGGAACATTTCCTAGAGTCTGGCTTTGCAAAAATGCCAAGTGCCCTGGATCTTGCGTCCCCACAGTCTGGCAGCCTTCAGTTACCGTGGAGGAGGACATAAAGGCATTCTGGCATGGGGATGCAAACAGGTCAGCTTAGGAAAAAAAAAATCCAAGGAGGGGAAATAAAGTCTCTGGTCTTCTTCTTTGCACATTATGATCCATTCTGCAAGAGGCATATGAACTAACTTGCACAGGAATCCCGCCCCGAGCCCAGGTCTCTCACCGACAGGCTCCAAGCTCTCTACCCCAGAATGAGGTGATGTGTACTATGAAAAGAGAAACCACTGGCCTTTTTTTTTCATTCTACCCCTTTAATTAACACTTACTAAATGTCTGCTGATAGCTGGGCTTGGCCATGCCAAGATGAAAAGGACAAAGTCTCTCCCTAGTGGGAGACAAAGGCATATAAATTGCAATGTGACCTGAGAAGCGCTACAATGGAGCTTCGCATAGGGCACCGTGGATCCCAGAGAAGGAAGCAAGTTAGTTGGCTTGGGGATAGGAATGATGATGGGTCACCACCAGGGTTTTTCTTTTTCTTAAAAAAAGCGTACATTAAAAATGATCGGATGCATTGCATTAACCAGTAAGTATTGTTTGTGTAGCTTTAGTTAGCTTGTTGATAACATACATGTATACATTTGTGTGAGTCACAGTGTAAAACATATCTCCTACATGCAGGCCAAGAAGTGTGAAAGTTGTAGGTTAGAGAGTAATAAATACCCCCAAACACTGGGGGCTTATGACAGGCTTGGTTCAAAGTGTTGTTGCATTGGGTAGTTGAAGAAACTAGCCGTGACTTAAGAGACTTTCCAAATCCTTCCAAATTCTCCGCCCTTAGTAAATCAAGGCCAAGCTTGAAGGAGCAGCTCCTTGATTCCTCTCTGAACAGAGCACTAGGCCCTGCCCCCCAGGACTGTTAGGCCAGTTCTAAGGCAGGGAAAGAGTAGCCACCCCTTTTCTGGCCAGCCAGATGGTGGGAAGGAGAAAGAGGAGAGAGGGGAGGGTCAGAAGCGCATCATGCTTTTTCCTCCTCTCCAGGTCTTCAATGAGAGCCCGAAAGGTGCATTACCTAATAATGTTACAGTGAGCAGTTCAGAGGCCTTCACCCAGCTTCCCACTGGGATTCCGAGAGGAATCTGCCCTGAAGGTGTTTGTTTTGTTTTGCTTTTTAAGATTTTATTTATTTATTTGAGAGAGAGAGTGAGAGAGAGCACAAGAGTGGGGTGAGGGGCAGAGGGGCAAGCAGACTGCCCTCTGAGCAGGGAGCCTGCCAATGGGGGGCTCAATCCTAGGACCCTGAGATCATGACCTGAGCTGAAGTTGGACACTTAACCGACTGAGCCACCCAGGCGCCCCCGAAGGTGGTTTTATACCAAACTAGGGGCAGCCATGTCAAAGTGACCTGGTGATCAAGCCTGGGTAAGCAGAGAGGCTCTGAGGCTCAGCTTTCCTGAGTCCCCGTGGTTCCCACATGGCATGGACATCACGTTGAGAGCAAGCAGCCTGTTGTGTGACTGCAGTGGTGGGGCAAGGCAACCTGGGGAGGGTCAGGGGTCTGCACCACAGAGAACAGAGGGGAAAAAGAGCACTAAGTCGCAAAGGGGAGAAGCCAGTGATGGGAGGTGGGAAGGGGTGTTGCTGAAGAATGGACCACCAGTTCACCTACCAAAGCTGGTAGCAACAGGGGCCTGGGGACAGGCAGAAACCAAGAGGACAAGGCAGCTTAGCATGGTAGTCAGGAACAAGGGTTCTGGACTGTCCACACACTGCCTAGCTTCAGGTCCCACCTCTGCCACACACTACCTGTCTGACCTTGGACAAGTTACCTAGCCTTTCTATGCCTCAGTTTCCTTATCTGCAAAATGAGGATGATGATAACAATTTTACGGACTTGATAAGGTTAATGTAAGAATAAATTAGTTTGTAAAGCTCTGATATATATGTTAAGCGTCAGTTAAATAAGTAAATCATTCACCAACAAAAAGGATTCTATACGGATATCACATGTCTCCAAGACCCCCAAACTGGACTTTCTGTTACAGATCCACCCCCACCCCCACCCATCAGCTTATGGGGGAGAATCAAATCAGCTATAGATCGTACATTTACGACATAGTGCAAGTGAAAATGTTTGCCCCCTCTACACAGGCCAGTTGGGAAGACAGACATTGAGCGAGTCTTTACATTCACTCACCTCTGATTGTCCAAATGTAATTCAGGAAGGGACTTGGTAGGCAGAATAATAGTCCTCCCCAATACGCCCATGTCCCAATCCCCAGAACCTGTGAATATATTAGGTTACATGACAAAGAGGAATTAAGGTTAGGGCGCCTGGGTGGCTCAGATGGTTAAGCGTCTGCCTTCGGCTCAGGTCATGATCCCAGGGTCCTGGGATCGGGTCCCGCATCGGGCTCCCTGCTCAGCAGGGAGCCTGCTTTTCCCTCTGCCTCTCTCTCTCTCTGTCTCTGTCTCTCATGAATAAATAAATAAAATCTTTAAAAAAAAAAAAAAAGAGGAATTAAGGTTAAAATAGGATTATGTTTCCTAATTAGCTGATCTGAATATAAGGAGGTTATCCTGGATTGTCAGGACGGGCCAATGTGATCACAGGGATCCTTAGAAGTAGAAGAGGGAGGCAGAAGAGGAATCAGTCAGAGGAAGATGCAACTTTGGAAGAATGGCCAGAGAGAGGCCATGTTGCTGGCTTTGAAGCTGGAGAAGAGGGGTCATGAGCCAAGAAATGTGGGTGGCTTCTGGAAGTTGGAAAAGGCAAGGCAACAGATTGTCTCCTAGAGGCTCAAGAGAGGAATGCAGCCCTATGGACACCTTGGTTTCAGCCTTAAGATAAAAGCCTGTGTGGTCTTAAGCTACCAACTTGGTGGTAATTGGTTACAATAGCCACAGAAAATGAATGCAATGGCATTTCCTAAATATGGTGTTTCCTGGGAAGTGTTTGCTTCATGTATTAGTTGCATGTGCTACATTGTGTATTAGGAGCTCCAGTTTTCAGACCATGACTTGGACAGGAAGGCTGGCTGGCTGGGCCAGGCAAAGTCCCATGATGAGTAACAGCCACTAGAAACCCAGTACCTTGGACATTCAATCTGTAAGCAGTCCCCTGGCTTAGGCATGAACGCTAATCCACAAACCACTTCTTGGAGCTCCTTCTCAGACTTGCTAACTGTTGATGCTAGCAGGCCACAATGTGGAGGCAGATTGTAGAAGTGGCTAACAAAAGTAAACCAGAGTTAATTGTCAAAAGCTGTTGTGGAAATTCTGTGCATTTGATGACTACAGCTCCCCAGCAAGGCTATACCACCACCCAGAGTTTGTAAATGCATTTTTCTTTTCACAATGAAGAGAAAAACACAAACCCAAGAGTCAAGCAATGTGCACAGCATTTCTGGGATCCAGGTTGACTAGCAATGCCAGAGTTCAATCACCCTGCACAGGTTGCTTTTTCCTGTTTGAGATAGGTGACTCGATATTGGCGTGCACAGCTCAAAGGTTGAGCTTACTGCATATTGGGGTGGAAGCCCTTACACAATCATATGCCAGTAATATATATTGGCCCTGGGACATCAGTCAGAGCATTAACATGGGTGGTGTCATTTGATGTCTCAGGCCGAGAAGTTGCTAGACATTCATGAGATTACTTTGGGTCTCATGACTTCTTATGGGATGAAGGAAGTCCTCCTCTCCTGGGTGGGGTAATATCTAGAGATTACAACAGGGAACCGTATACTGAGGCAGTATATAGCGTCTGTCCGTAAGGAGCTACAGCTCTTCGGGGATATCATCATGAACTAAAATTCTTCACAGTAGCTCCAAGGAACTGTGTAAAAGCTATAACTTGTGGATGGCTTAAACAGTGCAAAAGACCCCATGGGCCCTCTAATTTATTTCCTTCTACTTCCTAATTCCTTTTTTTTTTTTTTAAGATTTTATTTATTTTATTTGAGAGAGAAACAAAGAGAGCACGAGCAGGTGGAGGAGCAGAAGGAGAGGGAGAGGGACAAGCAGACTCTCCGCTGAGTGGTGAGCCCAATTTTGGGCTCCACACGGGGCTCAACTCCAGGACCCCACAATTATGACCTGAGCCAAAGTCAGACGCTTACCCGCTGAGCCACCCAGGGGCCTTTACCTCCTAAATTCTAAATAGAGTTCTTTAATGAGACGGGAGAGCCACTTTGGATGGCCAGCTCTAAATTATTATTTATAATACATTTTTATTTATTTATTTATTTATTTTTAAAGATTTTATTTATTTATTTGACAGAAAGAGACACAGCGAGAGGGGGAACACAAGCAGGGGGAGTGGGAGAGGGAGAAGCAGGCTTCCCGCCAAGCAGGGAGCCCGATGCGGGACTCGATCCCAGGACCCTGGGATCACGACGTGCGCCGAAAGCAGATGCTTAACGACTGAGCCACCCAGGCGCTCCTATAATACATTTATATTTAGAGCAGCCCACCACCTCAGCTGGGTCATCTGAGGTCACCCTCTATCACCCTTTTAGAATCACTCTCTAAGGCTAACCCACCTGAATAGCCTTTGCCCTGTATTGGGCAGTGTTGGGCTTTGCCTAGTTTCTTGACATAATTTTTACCCTTTGCCCCTGGATAGAGGGTGTGGTCGGTGACTCACCTGCCAGGTTCTCACTGCCTGATTCCAGTTGATTGGTTAACTCCCATCTGATGTGGTTGTAAAGAGCCTGAGGACCAGTGGAATGCCACAGAATCCCTCTGTGGACCATATCCCAGGTCCTGTTGTGGTTCTGGCAGTATCTATGAGCTCCTGTCCTGAGCTGCATTGTCCTTCCTTCAGCCTAGGAATTCATCCTCCTCTAGGCAAAAGAACAAAATTAACAGCCTTGAGGCCTGTCAGCCACCGGCCTGGATTCTGGGTCTTAGTTATAGATACAAAATAGCTGCCTCAAATATGGAGCACAGGTAACAAAGCCTGACTTTGTGGCCCATCTAGCTGTGGTTTGAAATAAGAGGCTAGACCAGGTCAGGGCTCTTGTGGACTGTGCCACAGTGGTGAGTACCCCTTACCACATTTATTATAGGTATTGATGGATATGATACAAAGGATGGGTCCAAAACCCTCACCCCCTCACCCACCCGCAGTGTGGCCACTGTGGGTTCTCCCAGCACACACTATCTCCAGGAAGCCGATAATGTTTGGAAGACTGCATTCTTCTCTCTTCTGTGGAGTTTTGGAACTTCTAGAGATTTCTAACAGCTACGCAAAGAAATGATCCAATTCGTCTAAACCCTGTCAAGGCAGTGGATTGAGGGCTACATACATCAAAACAGGAGACACATGCCAAACTCCACAAACGAGCCTCCACGTGCTCTTGCCATAACTGACCACCAGTAAGAATCAATACGGAAAGGACCGGATTGATTCACCTACACGTCCACATCCCCATTTCCCCCATCCTTTGTCTTCTGATGTGGCTGGAGGACTGTGAGCTCACTTTCCATATTTGTATTTAACACTTGCTGGGAGACAATTCTCGATGGGTCTATCACATTTCTGCATGCCTTATGAGCAGAGTCATGGAATGCCCTTTGTTTCAGACTATCTTTTTTAAGATAGTATCTTTCTCAGAGCAAAGTATAGGCATGCTTACTGTCTATTATTTAAGATCTGGTTCCCTGAGCTTTTGGGTTCCTCTATAAATAGTCCAGAATTTGCAATGGACCTCACTGTGTGTACAAGTGTTCATGGCCCTCTTTGCATTGCCTTTGGGAGTTGGGAATCGGGAAACCAGCACAAGAAAATCCCAATGCTCTTGCTGCTGCTATTGCTGTGAGTAGAGCAGTCCTTTGTTTCTGACCCAGAAGTCTTGTGTGTTCTGCCAGCTTCCATGAAACTGTGGCAGGCTAACTTGTTAGCTTACAAGGAGGGTTAAATTTCAGAGCCTTCAGAGTTCTTGACAATCTCCATTTCTTTCTCATATGGCATAACACCTCAACCCACCAACTAATTCCCCTCACGCCTGTGATCCTTAAAGCCATCTTGGTAGTTTGGGCCAAGGGGAAACTACTCATACAGAGTTCAGGACAGACCAAAGGATCAAATTAAAGAGCAAGACTGAAGCTAGGGCAGGACTGAGGTATCAGGAAGTTTCGTTTAAGCTTGAAACTAGAGGAGAATAATTGCAATTCTGGACTATTTATAGAGCTACATTTTTGGTTACATGTTCAACTGACTTGCAGGCAATTCTAAACATGCTTAGAAGGACAAACTCATTGGTTTCCTCATATACGGAATGAGTTGGCTCATATTTTCTCTGAGGTTCCTTCTTAGCTATAAAATATGTGCTTTATGAATTTGTAACACATCTGTCTAGCACACAAATTAGGCACTTGACTTAATTTAAAATAATGATTGCAAAGAGGACTGTGGTGTTAGTTGAAAGAAGATAAGGGCGCCTGGGTGGCTCCGTTGGTTGTGCAACTGCCTTCGGCTCAGGTCATGATCCTGGAGTCCTGGGATCGAGTGCCGCATCGGGCTCCCTGCTCGGCGGGGAGTCTGCTTCTCCCTCTGACCCTCCCCCCCTCATGCTCTCTCTCTCAAATAAATAAAATCTTAAAAAAAAAAAAAAAAGAGGGGCACCTGGGTGGCTCAGTCGTTAAGCGTCTGCCTTCGGCTCGGGGTCATGATCCTGGGGTCCTGGGATCGAGCCCCACATCCGGCACCCTGCTCCGCGGAAAGCCTGCTTCTCCCTCTCCCACTCCCCTTGCTTGTGTTCCCTCTCTCCTGCCTCTCTCTCTCTCTGTCAAATAAATAAATAAATAAATAAAATCTTAAAAAATAAAAATAAAATAAAATAAATTTTAAAAAAAGAAAGAAAGAAAGAAGATAACATTACAAGTTAAGAACCCTGGGGGTGCCTGGGTGGCTCAGTCAGTTAAGCATCCGACTCTTGGTCTGGCTCAGGTCATGATCTTCAGGTCAGGAGATTGAGCCCCTGCCCTGTGTGGGGCTCTGCGCTCAGCAGGGAGTCTGCTTCCCCTCTCCCTCTGCCTCTCCCCCTGCTTGTGTGTGCACATGTGTGCGTGCGCATGCACACCTCTCTCTCTGAAATAAATAAATAAATCTTTAAAAAAAAAAAAAAAGAAAAAGGTAAAGAAGCCTGAATTCTAGATCCAGTCCGCTACCACCTTGCTGTGTGACATTGGACAAGTCACTCAACTTACCTGGAGGAGGCAAGCGTGGGAAGATGATTTTTGCAAAAGATGATTTTCAGTGGCTCAGGGATGTGGCATGAAATTACACAGTGAGAAAGTAAGTTTCCTTTCAATTCTCTTTTTTTTTTCCTGATTATGCCAAAGAGAGTGTCTCGGTTGAGTGTTAGTGTGTCTTTAGCAGCTCTGTAATACCTGTTAATCTCCCTTTTTGGCAAAGAGAAAGAAGTCTGAAGCTTAGACACGGCACAGGCAGCCCTGGTTAGAGAACATTCAGTAACATGGCCTCGCTCAGGTTGTTGCTTTACTTATGTTTGTTTTGCCTTCCACTTATGGTAAATAATACAAGTTTCCCATTTATGGGAATGACAGTTTCCTTTAGTAAATTAATTATGAAAATGTTCTAAAATTGATTGTGGTCATGGTTGTGCAACTCTGTGAATAGACTAAATACGTTGAATTGTACACTTGATATGGGTGAATTAGATGGCATATGAATTAATATCTCAGAGCTGTTTTTAAATTAAATTAATTAAAGTAAAAGGGAGACTGATTTAAATACACTATTAAGCAAAAAATAATATAGGTGGGGAGTTGATAGAGAAAAAGTTGTGCAGAGGATGTGGACTAAAGTTTGGGAAAACACTGGTGGGCTTGCTAACAATGTGATCTCAGACAGGTCTCTTAATCTTTCTGAGCCTATTTCCTGACCTACAAAATGGGAATAGGAATATCTCCCTTGATTTGTTAAGAGGGAGGGAACATAGCACCTGAAACCTTCAGCCCGTGGCCCAGCGCATAGACTTCTGATAAAGGGGATGGTTGACAGCTGACTGAGCTCTGTCCTTTCATGTGTTAACTCCCCCATTCATACCATAACCCTGTTTAGTAGGTACTGGCATTCTCATTCAGGAGCCCTGTGGAGTAGATATCTTACCCTCAAGTTACAGAGGAGTGAGCTGAGGCTCAGGGAGGTTAGGTAGGCTGCTTGGAGTCATACAACTAGTAGGTGGTTCCAGACCAGGTTCAAACCCTCATCTCTCTGATGTCAGAGCACTGCCCTTTCCCCTGCACTGCATTTCCCTGTCCCCACCAACCTTGAAGCTAGACCTGACTAAATAGGATCCACCCAGATCTAGCTGGAGTGAGGTGAATACGGGAATTCTGCATCCCTGTCTCACAGATGAGCATCCCGGGTCTTGCTGCCAGCCTGGGACAGTGATGGGGACCCTGGTTCCTGGTTCTGGTTTCCTGTTATCTCCCGTTTCCACTGGTCCAGTGGAAAATTCTCTTTCTTCATCCAGTTCTCCAGGGGCTGAAGTTCTTTCATTGGCCTCTCATTCCTGTTGCTGAGTCTCCACCACCTTCTGCTGGACTTTTTTTTTTTAGAGAGTATTCTTTATCATTTTTAAGTAATTTCTACACCCAATGTGGGGCTTGAACTCACAACCTCGAGATCAAGAGTTGCATGACTGGGCCAGCCAAGTGGCCTTGGACTTATTCTCTAGCATCCACTTCCCTGTTGAGACGTTAAGCAGTTGCCTAACATTGGACCGAAGTTAACCATTTACCCTCTGAGGCTCACCCAGGTGTCTAGGTCCCCGCCAGTCTTCTGGTTTGATGGTGACCTCCCCTCCAACAAAGTAATCCAACCTAGGCTACTTCTTTCACGGCCCATTTCAGGCCACCATCATCTCCTGCCTGGACAACCAAAATGGCCTCCAGTCTCGCTTGACTCCATTCCTTCTCCAAAGTACAGTTAAAACTAAGCTTTTTGGGGGCACCTGGGTGGCTCAGTCAGTTAAGCAGCTGCCTTTGGCTCGGGTCATGATCCCAGGGTCCTGGGATCGAGCCCCGCACCAGGCTCCCTGCTCGGCCGGGAGCCTGCTTCTCCCTCTCCCTCTGCTACTCCCCCTGCTTGTGCTCTCTCTCTAGCTCTCTGTCAAATAAATAAATAAAATCTTAAAAAACAAAAACAAAAAACCTGAGTTTTCTGAAGTGCAACCTGATTATGAAACTTTCCTGCTTATTCTTTAGTATGTCTCCACTGTCTTTTTGAGAAAGTCATGACCCCTTAACCTGGCTTTTAAAGACCTCTGTAAGCTGGTGTCTCCTGAACCCTTCAGCTTCTTCTCCCTGAGTCTTCTCTCCACTTACTACGAGACAGTCATGTTGACACTAGTTATAGTCTCTTGAGTGCCTCTAGATATCCTTGATATGCAGTCAGTGCTAACCAAACAGTAATTAATGCACCATGGCCACTTGCCTCAGGTTTTGCATGTGCTGTTCCCTCAGTCTGAAATGCACTCCCACTCCCATTCTCCCAACCATTCTGACTGATTCTTTTGGACTCTGCTTACATGTCACCTCCTCAAAGAAGCCTTCCATGCCCTCTCAGTGTTAGGTGCATCTTTATGTGTTCTGACAGTATCCTGTGCTTTCTTCTATCATGATGAGGCAGAACCATAGTGGAGGAGCTGAAAGCATAGGCCCTGGAGTCAAACTACTTGGATTTAAGTTCTAGGTATGCCACTCACCCCACCTATGTGACCTTGGCAAGTTGCTTAACCCCTCTGTGCCTCCATTTCCTCATCAGTAGGATGGAAATAATAATACCTACTAATAGGATTCCAGTGAGGAGTACCTGAAACAATGTATGGTTAATGGCCTAGTGCAGAGTCTGGCACATAGTAAACCCTCAATAAATACTAGCTACTATTATTTCAACATGCATCATAATCTATTATAAATACAAGTCCCCGGCTTTGTCTTTCTCACTCTAAGCATCTTGAGGGCACAGAATGTGTCTCATTCACGATTGAATCTCTGGGTGCCCAGCATAGAACCTGACAAATATAGTACTCAATTCATAATGAATGAATGAATGTCTTGCTCCCTGGTTTATCTTAGATGACTTTACCTGATCCTGAAGCTCTCTTTGGATTCCCAAGACAGTTTTCCCTGCTCTGGATAGGCCAGAGCCCAAATCTTGTCTATGGTATTGTGATTTCAGATGGAAACACCTGGTGTCAGTACAAAGCAGAAATACCCCCAGGTGGTTTAGAAGGAAAAGATCTCATGCAGTTTGTCCTGTTAGCACCTCTACCTCCCTTGGTTCTAGTTTGTCATGACTAGGTGTGGGCAGCACCCAAACAGAGCAGGTCAGTCATTCCTTCAACAAGGGTTTGCTGGGTCATGCCCTGTTGGGTGTTGAGGACGCCTGGAAGGGTAGGGCATGAGCCTTGCTTCCAGGGAGCTTCCTCAGGGGTGGCCAGGTCCATATCTGGCTGGTCAGACAAAGGGATGGGCAGTCCCATTGCAAGGTACACTGGGCAGATGTTGGGATCTGAGCTAGCCTCACTGCTAGGAGCCAGGACGTGAATGCAGGAGCAGGGAATCTGGTGCCCAGGATCTGGAGCGATTCCAAGGTTAGGGCAGGAGGTGAGCCACGCTGAGAGAAGGCAGAATTGAGACTGGCACAGGTCGGAATCCAGCAGGTAAAGCCCAGCACCAGCATGGGGGCTATTGTCTACTTGTTCTTTCTTCCTCTCCTCCTGCTCCTCCGCCTCCTCTTCTTCGGCTTCCCCTACTTCTTTCCAGGGAGGAGACTGAAAACAGAGAGAACATCACTGGGGGCTTCCTGCTCCAAAAAGTGAGGGCATATAAAGCAGCTGTGGGTCTCCTGTCAAGACCTACCTCGGGAAGGCAGTGGCTGTAGGGCTGGACAGCTGGGCCTCCTCCTGGGCCAGCTGTTGGCAGCATGATTAGGGGGACACTGAGGACTGGCTCAAGACCAGGAGTCTGCCGCTAGACCAGCTGTGTGGCCTTGAGTAAGTCATTTCCCCTTTTGGGCCTCCATTTAGAAAAGGAAGGTTGGGGGGTGCCTGGCTGGCTCAGTCAGTGGAGTGTGCAACTCTCAATCTCAGGGTTGTAGCTTCCAGCCCCATGTTGGGTGTAGAGATTACCTAGAAATAAAATCTTTAAGGGGCGCCTGGGTGGCTCAGTAGGTTAAAGCATTGGACTCTTGATTTCCACTCAGATCATGATCACAGGGTCATGAGATCCAGCCCCGCGCCAGGCTCTGCACCGGCAGTAGAGCCTGCTTGAGATTCCCTCTCTCCTTCTCCCTCCACCCCTCCCCGCCTCCTCACATTCATGTTCTCTCTAAAAATAAATATATTAACAAATAAAATCTTAAAAAAAAAAGAAAAGGAAGGTTAAGACAGTGCTAAGGGTTTCTCCAACCTTAAATTATGAAGGCTTCTTTTTCAAAGCAGATTTCAAAGACCCAACAGGATGGCAATGGTAATCTAGTACCTGTTGATCCAAAAAACAATACAAAATGATAAAAAAAAAAGTCACTTTTGAATCCTTTAAAGGAAACTGCATTTTGTTATTCGCAGAAGCATCTACTGTCATTCATAAAAATTAGGGTACAAAATCCTTTTTTTTTAAGATTTTATTTATTTATTTGACAGAGAGAGACACAGCGAGAGAGGGAACACAAGCAGGGGGAGTGGGGGAGGGAGAAGCAGGCTTCCCGCTGAGCAGGGAGCCCGACGTGGGGTTCGACGTGGGGCTCGACGTGGGGCTCGACGTGGGGCTCGACGTGGGGCTCGACGTGCGGCTCGATCCCGGGACGCTGGGATCATGACCTGAGCCGAAGGCAGAGGCTTAACGATTGAGCCACCCAGGCACCCCAGGTACAACATCCTTTGAGGCTCAGAATCACAACCTCTGTGAAAAGCTCCTACCCAAATCCAACCAGTAGAGCTTTTATCTTTCTTAGAACTCACAGAAATTAGTCTCTTATACCTCCAGCTTGAAAAATACAAGGGACACCAGAGCCCTGGGCCAGTGTTTTTCCAACTTTTACTTATTATAAAGTTCACCAATGATGATAATATGATGGAACAAAATCTGAAAGCAGAGGTGATAGGTGACATTTGTCACTTTTTGCCTGTCCAGCTTCAGAATCCCTTCCCAGGTGTATGGAAGAACTTTTTTTTTTTTTTTAAGATTCCATCCATTCATCTGACAGAGAGAGGGACAGCGAGAGAGGGAACACAAGCAGGGGCAGTGGGAGAGGGAGAAGCAGGCTTCCCGCTGAGAAGGGAGCCCGATGCGGGGTTCGATCCTAGGACTCTGGGATCATGACCCGAGCCGAAAGCAGAGGCTCAACGACTGAGCCACCCAGGCGTCCCCCGAAGACTCCACCTTATGAGTCTTAGTGGAAGATCGAGTCCGAGGCTCACCTCTCACTGTAGAGACCGAAATCTAAGACAGGCTGCTTCTCAGCCTCCTTCATTGGCAGGACTCAGACATGTGACCTGGGCTTGGCCAATCAGGAGCACGACCTGGATTCTGAATGCGAGAGCGCAGAGAGAACCCCGTAGAGAACCTTCTCCGGCGGGGGTGGCAGCCGCTGTGGCCGCGGTGTCCAGAGTGCAGGGTGGCAGCCGCAGGCCGGTCACCGTTCAGGCCCAGCCCTCACTGTGGCACAAGCTTCCCAGGGCAGGGCTCTGGAGAGCTGCTGTGCCACAATTTTGGCTGTGCTCACCTGGCTGCTTCCGAGCACCCTTCGTTCTCGTTCATGCCCTGTGCCTGGTTCTCCGGCCTTCCCGGAGTTTCCATGGGCTACCCAACATCCTTTCCATAAATCCCTCTTCAGCTTTACTCATCCAGAGCCAGTTCCTGTTGTGCTTTTAAATCGAAGCCCTGGCTGATTCAGTCTTAAGTCAGTCTGGGCATCCAAGTTCTTTTTCTATTTTGCTTTGGTCACCCAGCTCTGAGAAAATTCTGATCATATAAATGGGTGGTGTCTCAGTCCATTTGGGCTGCTATAACAAAATACTGAAGAGCGTGAGGCTTACAAAACAACAGAAATTTGTTTCTCACAGTTCTGGAGGCGGTAAGTCCAAGGTCACGGTGCCAGGCATGGTCGGGGGAGGGCTTTCTTCTGAGTAGCAGACTTCTCGTCAGATCCTCACACGACAGAAAGGGCTAGAGAGATCTGTGGGGCCTCTCTCATGGGGGTGTCAATCCCCATCATCAGGGCTCTGTCCTCATGACCTAATCAACTCCCAAAGGTCCCTACCTCCTAATACTATCACCTTGGGGATAGGATTTCAACGTAAGAATTCAGGGGGAACACAAACATTGAGACCATAGCAGATGGTTATAAGTAATAATGTAATAATGATAGATACCATTACATAGCACCCACTACATGGCAGGCCCTATTCCACACACTTTACATATATTAACTCACTTAACAAACCTTTGAGGTAGATCTATCATTTAACATTCTCCTGTTATAGGTGGAAAACT